GGAGCTTATTCATTTCCTTTGGTTGTGTTGCCTTTCCTTGATTATTTGTGATCCTTGCAGCCTTCATTGGTGTCTGCATTTTTGCAGTTTTTCAGTCTTTACAGACTGGCTTCAGCAGGGAAAGCCCTTTACCAGTCAGCCCATCCAGAGATTCTGGGTGAACCAGCTGGTAGTGTCTGTGGGAAGGCTTGCTGCTGGAGTCCTTGGACAGGTAGATCTGGTGCCTGGGTCAGCAGGTGGGCAAGCCAGGTGTTAGGTGCACAGGGGCTGGCCTGGTGCTGGGTTCATTGAGGCAGGCCTGCTGTTTGAGTCTGCAGTGGTAGGCTTGCGATCCGGGTTTGTATGGGCAGGCCTGGACCCTAGGTCCACGGGGGCCAATCAGGTGCTGGGCACCATGGGGTGGGCCTGGCATCTGGGTCTACAGAGGCTGGCCTGGTACTGGGGTGGGCTAGGAGCCTGGGTTTGAGGGAGCTGGCCTGGGGTCTGGGGCCACAGATGCTACCTTGACACTGGGGTAAGCCTGAAGCCTGGGGCTTTAGGAGTTGTCCTGGAGCCTTGAGAGGTGTGGGGGCCAGCCTGGAGATTGGGTCCATGGGGGCCAATCTGAAGGCTGGGGCCACAGGAGCTGGCCTTTTGCTAAGGTAGGAGGAGCTCGTGTCTGTGGGAGCCCACCTGGAGCCTGGGACCACTGAGACCAGCTTGTACTGGGGCAGGCCATGAGCCTGGGTCTGCAGGCTAGGTCCATGGGGACTGACCTGGCACTGTGGTAGGCCAGGAGCCTCAGTCCATGTGACCTGGTCTGGAGGCTGGGTCCATGGGGGCCAGCCTGGTGCTGAGGCAGCCTGGGAACTTGGGTCCATGGGAGCCTGCCTGGAGTCTGGGACTGTGGGGGCTGGCCTGGTACTGGGGCAGGCCAGGATCCTGTGTTTGTGGGAGCCAATTGGGAGCCTGGGGCCACAGGAGTCAGCCTGGAGCTGCAGTAGACCAGGAACTTGGGGCCCCAGGCATCAGCTTGGCACAGGGGAGGGCTGGGAGCCTGGGTTCATAGGATCCTGCCTAAAGCCTGGGCTGCTGGGGCCCACTAGGAGCCTGAGGGCAATGGGAGCTGGCCTGGTGCTGGGGTGGGCTGAGAGTTTGGGGTCACAGGAGCCAGCCTCATGCTGGGGCATGCTGGTAGTCATGGGGGTGCTCGGGAGGGCTGGGAATCTGAGGCCGCAGAGGCTAGCCTGTTAATGGTGTGGGCCTAGTGCTGGGTCTGCAGTGAAATTGGGTACTCAATTCTCTCTCCTTTCCCACAGAGAGTGTGTCTCTTTCTACTAGGCTGCCCTGGTTTAGGAAGGGGGGTAGGGGTAATGTGAAACTGTCTTTCCTACCCTCTTCAATGCATCTTTTCTTCTTTCTGTGCTCCACCAAGGTGCTGTAATCCCTCACCTGGAATCTTGAGCTCTTGCGAAGGTATTTTCATACATGGATAGCTGTTCAAATTGATGTTTCTGGGAAGGAACAAGTGCTAGAAATTCCTATACTGCCATCGTGCTGATGTCACTCTCTTCTGCTGTGTGCTGTCTGTTACCAAATACAAATATTGGCTTATTTTACTTTATTTATTGTGTCATGTAGTTCTAGAGATGCTGTTTGACTCTTTCAAATCTGTAACTTTCTGTACATTGCTATTTTAGAAAAATACTTTCATTTTGGCATTTGCTTCTTAAACGTGTTTAGGATAGCTGTTTTAAGCTCGGTGCATAATAATTACAAAATCTGAAGTCTGTGTAGGTGTGTCTCTGCTATCTTGCTTTATTTGTTCGGTTTCTTTCTTCTTTTTTGTGATCTTTACTTGTATGCTTGGTAATATTCAACTACTTTTGTCTTGTTGCCTTTGTAAAATTATTTGAGAGGCTCTGCCCTCCTCTAAAGAGGCTTTCTCTTTGCTTCTGGTGGAACACGTTTGGCCTATGTTAACCAAATACCCTTTGAGAGTTCTTGGCTCAAGCAAGCTGTGAGTACGCAAAGTGAAAATCCTTGTGAGGGCTTGTTTACGGGCGCGGCGTTCCAGGAGTGACTTTTTTTGACATCTTTCCCTCTCCCCCTTTGTTCAGTGCCAAGACCGCCCACTTCGCGGGTCCCAGAGATTGGGGACAGGTGAGGGTGGATCTAGACCTGGTTTGCTTGTCCACTCCCCAGCCTCAGGCGGACCCTGAGCCCTGACCTCTTTTTTTTTTGTACTGGTGTGATTAGACTACCGGCATGGGTGTGTGCTGTATCAGCACAGAGCATAGAGTGGTTTCAATGTTCCTTTATTTCAGAACCTGACTCTGTAAATCTGGGGTGGGGCCTGAGATTCTGCATTTCTGACAAGCTGCCTGATGATGCAAATGCTGCTGCTCCATGGGCTACACTTTGAATATCAAGAATCTACCTAAGCGGGACAGTTCCATCTAATGATTTGGCAATATGTGAACAATAGCCAAATTGAATGGTAGGAATTGTGCTACAGGAGTTGGGAAGGATTTGTGGGGCTGAGTTGACTACATTAGACCTTGAGCTGAGTAGTGAAGGATAGATATGGATGGACAAAAGAATGAAATCCCAAGGCAGATCTAGTTTTGGCTAGCTGAAGAGAGAGGGGAGGCTGTATCTGTAGACTTTATGAACTCAATGGAGTTCTTGTCTTCCAGAGAGGGAAGTTTCCTTCTTCATATTTGACACAATGTCCCTTCTCAGGAGCATCTAACTCCTTGGCTGTAAAGGATGTCACCTCCACACTAGGGAGAGATAAGTACAGATCTTGGGCTGTTTGGTATCACCAAAGCCCCCATTACCTCCACTAATGGCACTGTGGACTAAGTGTCCAGGCCGCATAGAGTTTCATACAGCTGTAGGATGAAATGAGGAATATGAAAGGACCCACATCTTATCAGCTGTGTTTATGAATGAGTTTGCATTAATATATGCAGCATTCATACCAATGTATGAATTGGTGGATGTTTGCTTCTTTGTACCTTATGGCAGGACATTGAGCTGCTCCCCTCAAGATATCCAAGTGTGTCCAGTCCTGTATAGCGAGCATAGGGGTGATGTTGAAGGCTCTGGACTTTCTTCTTAGAGCACAGAAATCAATTCGTGCTAATGGACACCTGTGGGAAGCTCCTCTTCATAGACTCAGCTTGATTCTGAATGCTAGTTTTGACTCCGGGACACCTGCTGCACATTTAAATGTGAGTACTTCACGATTCCACACTCCTGAGGGATGGCTGTGAGGCTACCCAGGGCAAGATTATGATGGTCTTTACATCCCACTATGGGATGAGAATCCCTGGGAAGGGTATAAGGTGTGAACATGAAGGTGTCTTTATGTGGCTAGGTAGGTTGATGAGGCAGCAGAAAGGTCAATGGCTAGGATGGTCTATTGGTGGTCACTGCAAAAAGGCTGATGGAAATAAATAGGCTAATCTGGGGTGTGGTGACAGACATAGGGGACTCACTAGGCCAGTTGTTCCAGGAAGTTGTCGTGTATTGGGAGATTTGCATACTTGTCTTGAACTCACATTACAGTCCAGCAAGGTACAATGCATTTCATACAAGAGTCATCTGAGGATCAGAGATGTGAAAGGACTTTGCCAAGGACACAAGGCTGAAATTTGCAAAGCCTAATTTTGAATGCATATCTTTTATGTGTGTGTGTGAGGAAGATTAGCCCTGAGCTAATATCCACTGCCAGTCCCACTCCTTTTGCTGAGGAAGATTGGCCCTGAGCTAACATCTGTGCCCATCTTCCTCTGCTTTATGTGGGATGCCTGCCACAGCATGGCTTGATAAGTGGTGCATAAGTCCGTGCCTGGGATCCGAACCTGCGAACCCAGGGCTGCTGAAATGGAGCGTGCGAACTTAACCACTACGCCACGGGGCCGGCCCCTGAATGCACATCTTTTGAATACAAGTCTCTTGCTTTTGCCACTAAGCTATCATCTTAGTTTGGGTTCTCTCTAAGATAGAAACGGGGAGTTCATTTAGAAGATGATCCCAGGAAAGCCAACAAAAGGAACTCTAGTGAGCTGGTTACTGTTGTGGGCAACTGGGCTGGGTCCCACTGGGAACCTTCTGAGAAACCCTAGCATTGTCTCACCAGAGGCTGCGGAGGCTGGGACATTCATCCACCAGTCCTTTCCCCCATTGGTTCAGGTTGCCCCTGAGAGGCAAGCACTGGAGGTGTGAAGCTGACAGGTGCTGGGAACTGCCATAGTGGAGTGGGAACTGAGGTGGGCTGAAGGGATGGGACAGAGCATCGACAGCATTGCCTCAGCTTCTCTTCATGGAAGACCTAATGAGCCTCTGCTAGCTCAGGGCACTGCAGCATCTGGGAGCCAGGCTCCCTGCTTCACTAGTCTAGGGTAGTGATCCAGGTAGTCCATGAGGGGCAGGGTGCCCAGGAGCTGGTCTTGCCCAGGTGAGGCTCACTTGAGTGGAGAGGCAGCCTGCACAGTGGCTCTGAGAAGCTGGAGGAACATACACTGGGTTGTTTTTCCCTGTCTGGGGTTGGCAGAGAATATGGTGACCGTGGACTAGGAGTGGTTAGAAGCTACACAGGTCTTAGGGGACTCATCCCTTCCTCAGTCTACTTTGCACCTACTGGGAGCTTCCACTCTTAGAAATTACATTTCCGTGTCTCGTTTTGCAGCATCAGAGTCCAGTCATCGGCCCTGGGCCAGTCCCATAATTTTCCTTTCTTCAAAATCAGTGTTGATGAGTCTATTTCCTGCTTGTTGCACTTAAAGGCTTAGCACGCCCTCCTTTTTCAGGGTGCACAGACATGTCACAACCATGCTGCGATTTGCGTTTACTTACAAAAAGCCTTACTGAATCCTCTGACACCAGGAACCAGCAAATAGCCAGGGTGCCGGGCAGTCCCAGCCCCAGTGAAGCAGAACCCCTTCCTTGACCATGTGGATAAAAGGCTTGGGCCTTGTTAGAGTCGGTCAGAGCATCTGAGTGCAGAGGAAGACATAGGCCACAACGGCAGGGACACGGGGTCCTCTGTAAACAGGTTACAGGTGCAGCCTGTAGCGGTGAAGTCTGCTGCCCTTTGATCTTCTCTTGCTTCTGGGCCTCTGGCCTTGGCCCTCACTGTCTTCTTAGAAATCTGGGTCTAGGCCTGAACGAGATTCACAGGTATAGCTGCTTCTGCTTGAAGGTAGGCTGCGTCTAAGAAGGAGAGCAGGTGAGGGAGTGAGGTGAGCTCTGGGAGTATAGATTCTGACTGGCATCACCGTTGGGCTGGTCACTAGCCCTTCTGACTCGGGGTCAAGCTGTGGCTCAGGACTGACTCAGGCCCTCTCGTGGAGTGAGTCTGCATGTAAATATCTTCGCTCTTCGGCAGTTCTGAAACACCACCACCATAATGCAAAGAGGTAAAGATCCACACGAAAGGGCGAAAAATGCGAAAGGGGATATTCTGTGCCCTTATCCTTACATTTGCATTTTGACTTTCTCTACAGGGCTTTCCGTTATAAGACCTATTGTGGGGAATATTCAGGATAACAATCATCTGGTGTGGGTCCTTCAAGGCCAGACCCTCATATCAGTCCCAGGGAAGCATGGCAAGGTTCCAGGTGAGTGGCCAAGGTCTGTTGAAGGCAGCCCCTGTGGCTAGAACTGTTGTGTGTTTTGTGCTCAGCTTTTCATTTCATTATTAAGAGGCTTGTTAACTGGCCCCATCTGGAGAGAAGAGCATCTCACAGGCAATAATGAGCTAGAGGGTGATCAGAGGGTTATTCTGTGACTATGGTCATGAAGTCAGAGAAGAGAGAGAATCGAGGGAGACTGAATGGTTGGCCTGTGGAAAATGGCAGAAGACTGTCTGTGAAACTCCAAGGAGTAGGACTAGGACAAAAGAGTGGGATCTAAGGGCAGACCAGTTTTTGAATCCATGAAAGGCTGACTTTCCTAATGGAAGGAGTTCCCCAGGGGTGGAGATGAAGGTCTATCTGGGTTAGGTGGTGGGCGACGGAGTGACCACTCTGTGAGTGTCTGTTAGCAGATTCCAGCTCTATTGCCCTTATAGCCCTGGGTGCCTTGGAAACGGCAACTGAATGCCACTCTTCGTGTCATGTTCGCAGTCACTATCGCCTTAATCCCATGCAAACATCCGGAGGCTCTTGAGAAAGACAGAGGGAATCCCGTGTACCTGGGACTGAAGGAACCGCAGTTCTGCCTGTTGTGCACAAAGGTTGAGGATCAGCCCACGCTGAAGCTCACAGTGAGTGTGGAAAACAAGGGTCTTGTCAACGCCTGTCTAGGAGAGGAGAGCCAACTTATTTTACAAAGTGCTCATTACAAAGTGCTCTAGATTTTATACTCTTTTAAAGGACAATTTATTTATTATCCTTATGCATATTTATTTTTGGTTCCTTTTGGGTTGTATGTATTGTGAAAGAATAAGAAAAAATTACAGGGATGTTTTGAAACTCATCTGCTAAAATCACTGATTATTGTATTTATAAAAATAATTTGGCAAGGAGGAATGCTTTTAGAGTTATTCCTAACTCCAATGGAATATACATAGATAAAGAATATATAATAGAATATATATGTATATATATACACATATACATGCATACACATATATACATACATGTACGCATACGTACATATGTATATATACACATAATGTGCAGGCAAACAAGCAAGGACATTTTTAGAAGTTAATTTTCACAAGGTGGATAAGCATATTAAAACATCTTTTTGACAAAAAATAGTTTGCAATTTTAAGTGAACAAACATAATTCTCTGAACAACCATTTTAATAATTGCTAGTCTCCATTATTAAAAAAATACTTTAAGTCGTAGGAGGATCACAAACCAGGTCTTTGTGTTAAAGGAAATCTCTTGACCTTTTTCAGCAAACAAGCACAGGGAGACACTCAATTTAATGACGAGATATAAAACAGTGGTTTTCAACCAGGGACAACCCCCCCCATTTGTCAATGTCTGGAGATACTTTGGTTGTCGCAACTGGGGGCTGAGGGTATATTAATCACATCTAGTGCGTAGAGGCCAAGGATGCTACTAAACATCCCATCATACACAGGACAGCCCGTGACGACAGAGGATTATCCTGTCCGGAAAGTCAGTAGTGCTGAGGTTGGAGAGACCTGACATAAAACAATTGTTTTAATTCAAAGTTCATGGCAACTGTTATGTCAATAGTCTTTGGGTTTCTCCATTTCCAAGCAACAGGTAATGGCTAAACTAGTGCTTTGCATTCTCAAAAACTTTTATGTCAACAATGTCTTCTTTCAAAGCCTCACATTAAGAACCATGGAAATTTGTGGCCTAAGGTTTTAACCATCATCTTAACAGATATAAAGTACTTGGGCCTATGATTCTTTTTTATTGAGGTCACATTGATTTATAACATTATGTAAATTTCAGGTGTACATTATTATATTTCAACTTCTGTGTAGACTACATTGTGTTTACCTATAATTTTTAATCCCAGGGTATGAAGTAGAGGTCTCCAGGGCTGCTTTAATGCATGGGGAAGGCTATCTTGGACAGAAACTATCAGGGTGTAAAGAATGTGGAAAAATTCAAGCAGTCATGTTTCTCCCTGGGGCCTCTTTCTCACCCTTCAGGAACAGAACATAATGGATCTGTACAACCAAGCTGAGCCGGTGAAGCCCTTTCTCTTCTACCACAACCAGAGTGGGACGACCTCCACCTTTGAGTCCGTGGCCTTCCCTGGCTGGTTCATCGCCGTCTGCTCCAAAGGAGACTGTTCTCTCATTCTTACCCAAGAACTGGGGCAAGCCTATACCACTGACTTTAAGTTCACTGTACTGGCTTAATGTCAGTCTGGAGTTGGAGATTGCTCTCCATGCAGAGAATCTGGCCTTGGTTTCCTCCATTCTAGCTCTTAAAGTGCTTCTGAGATGAATGTTGCCATACTGACCCACTCAACAAGGGGGAGCAGAGTTGCCACAATTATGTCTAATTTTCAGAAGTAGAAACCAGGTTAAATGGAGAGTAAGCAGTCAAATCTTAGCCTAGAATAGGAAGGAAGTACCTGTGGTTGGGCTTTTCACAAGGATATCTTGCTGTACCCTAAAATACTCATGCAGTGACCTAAGTGTTGAGCCAGGCTATATGCCTTTTCCCAGGGGCAACATGGAAAATATTTCAGGGATATTGAGGGTCTTTGCCATGGCCACATAGCAAAAATGTGGTACAATTACAAAAATAATAAAGAAAACTCTACTTAATACACTTGGTAATAATACTTTGAATAAGAAATGAGGGTGATTCTTTCATTTGTAGTCCAGGTCTCTGGATTTTCAGATACGTTGTTCTGTGGTGTTGTATCAAGACCTTTCAGATCAGGATGGGAAGAAGCAGACATAGAAGTTCCATCAAAAGAAGAGACCCAAAGGAAAGCTGAGCCCCTCCTAGGCTTGGCTTATGTCTCCATGAAGTTACGTATTCTGCTGGTTTGAATGAAGAACTAGTGTTGTTTATGAAACTTTCACCTAAAGCATTATCACTGGATCTCAGGAAGAGTTCATTTGTGAAATAAAACTTTTGTCCTTTCAGTTTCTCTGTTATGAATGGAATGACTTTATGAAATATCATGGTCATAATAAGTTTTATAGTTTGCATTCCTTGCATTCATAATAAGTTTTATAGCTTGTAAAGCAGATTCTCATGAAGTCTCTCATTTCTAAAAAGAACCCTACTGGGGTTGTTGGGGAATACGGTATCCTCCTAAACTCAGGTTTCCCCAGGACTCACAACTGGGGTGAGTGGTACAAATAAGGCCTCATTAAAAGAAAAAATACTCCATATTTCAGTGCATAATGCTGGTGCACAGCTAACTGAGAAATTTCCCCATCCTACTCCAGCAAGGGTTTCTGAGAGTCTTTCATGGATTTTTCCCATGAACTCACAAAACGTAACCTGACAAGGCTCCCATTCATCTAGAGCGTATTTATTACAAAGGCTTATCTGTTCTTCTACCTTTTTATGAAGTAAGGTTTCTTCCCACATAACATGAGTGAATTTCTCTGTAATATAGAGATTTTTAATGTCTGTAGTCTTGTTGTGAGTTTTGACTTTCCATCATATTTTTACTTGTCTCCAAGATTTGGGGACATATGTGGGGATGCTACTTTCACAAACACATTGATGACTTCCAGGGCCCTACAGGCAAAGCCCCAACCTCCTCATCCCATCCTGATATCTTCTGCCTTTCAGCACTGAGTGACCAGATTGGTGTCAGAGATTAGATTTTTCCTGGCTACAGCACAGCACTCCCCGAGCTTTTCATTTCTCATGGTTCCTACAAAAAGGTAGAACTGTTTCTCCTCTGCCTTTCCATATGTAAGTGATTTACCTAGAGCTGTGGGATGACCAGGACACTTAGGAGAGTGAAAAAGCTTCTATTAATAATTAAACTGGGATGATGGGCATAAACTTGGATGCTCTAGGACCAACTGGGGTGTATAGTCTCCTGGGTGCAAGGCTAGAACCCATATCAGGCTCTCCCCAGAACTCTCTCCACATACCTGCCCAGCCGAGGAGCCAAGGTGAGCCCATGGGTGTCTCGGTACATCAATCATCCAGCAGGAGGTGAAACTCCCAGTCTCCCCCCTTGTCTGAGAGATTCTCTTGGGGCAATCCATCCCTAATATGGGATAGGATAGCATCCCCCGACCCTCTTCACAAGGAGGGCAGAAACTTGCCACGTCTCACCACAACTCATACAAGGTAGCCCACTCTCTTCCCAGTCTTCCTCTTACTCATGAGAATACTTAATTCACTCCTTTGTTTATTCAACAAATATTTATGAATTCCAGTAACGGACCAGACACCGTTCCAGACATTGAGAACCTAGTTAACAAGACAGACAATTTCCCTGGCTCCATGGAGCTGGCATTTTGGTGATGAAGATAATACATAGATATATGCCTGCATACATGCATGTGTACTTACATACATATCCATGGCCATGGAGGCATACATTTTATGCAAAAAATAATAGAGAAAAATTAGGGATTAGAGCATGAGTGGGGGGGTGGCTCTTGTAGATAGGGCAGTCAAGGAAGATCTCATCTAGAAGTTGGTTTTTTTGCAAACGCGGGGAAGAAGTAAGGGAGGGAACTATATGATGCTCTGGGGAAGCCCATTCTTGCAGAGAAACAGGAAAGGCTCCTGGTGAGGATGAGCTGTCTGGGTGGGAGAATCAGCAGGACCCCAGTGCAGCAGGAGCAGGAAGAGTCAGAGGGCAGGGATAGACGCTCTACAGAAAGACAAGCATCACGTGGGCTTGTGCGAGCCGTGGTGAAAGCTTTGGTTATTATTCTGGGTGTGATGTGAAGCCGTTAGAGAGTTCTGAGCAGGGGAGCGACATGACCGCATTTTACGTCTTTGATCCTCCTCACTGCTGGGTGGAACTTTAACTCTAGGGAGATAAGAACAGAAGCAGCAACACCAATTGGGGACCATTGTAATACTCCAGGGGAGAGAGTTAATGTTGGATCTCAGAGAACAGAATCATGTCCAGTGGTTGTGAGTTAAATGGAAGCATAGAATTTGGGCACAGAATGAGTAGAATTTTTTAATATTTGGGACTGACCAACAACAATGGGTTTCAAGGGAATGATTCCCTTTCACTGCCAATGTTGAGGCTGAGTCTGATTCCTAATTCAGAGTTAGGAGACCACAAGACCTCCAAAGTCCCTCCTATGACATAAGTCTCCTCTCTTGGACACAGTGCAGGTTTCAATATATCTACCGCTGAACCCAAGGCCTCCTATGTTCCTCAGCTAGCACAAAGTGCAAGAGACAATGACCCAAAGGAAGCACATGGTGGTTAAGAACAGAGAGACTTGGCTTTTAACTTAGCTAAATTTCTTGGTAGCTATGTGACTTTGGGTAAGTTTTGTCGTCTCTCAGGGCCTCTGTTTTCTTACATAAGAAATAAAGATTAACGGCCTGTAAAGGGTTGTTGCGAGGATTAAAAGCTTAATCACGTAAGTCTCTTACGACTTTATCAGACACAGAATAGCTCTCAATATTGGTTGTGTGAAACTCCTGAAAGAAGAACTGTGAATTGTCCAAAATCAGATGTGAACAAGGCTGTGGTTCACACAGTCAGCGAATCGAGAGAGCCACACCTCTGCCTCCAAGGCAGCCCAGAAGGAAGCTCTCCTCCTCAACTCAGCATCTGGCCTCATCTGTATTTCCTGTATTTCCTCGTTGTTGTTTCCTGACACTTGCTCTGCTCTGGTTTCTCTGGGACCCCAGATGGGCGACGCCTCTGTTGCCTCCCAGTGACCCATTGAAGCCTCAAGGGACGTGTAGGGCCTGGGCCATGCTTGCTCAGCAAGAACCCACATGCCCCACTGCAACCAGGGGTACTCCTGGCTCCCTTCTGGGCAGGACGCCTAGCTGCTGGGATTTGTAACAATCCGGGGCCTGGCCATCCGGGTCCTAACTTATCTCACTTAAAGAACATCATGTCTTAAAGGAGCACAGAGCCCCTCCACGTGAGCTACTGTTCCTGGGAACGCTGGCCGAGCCAGGGACAGCCCCTCTTGGCAAGCAATAGCCTTTGTGCCCCCTGCTTATATAAGCAACCCCCTCCCCTCCTGCAGTAGTGGTGTGCATGTCTGTCCAGTGGGCCATCACTGGACATTCCCCCTAAGTAACTCCCAGTAAACCCTTATGTCTCGTTCACTGTCTCCGGGTCATTTCTTCGGTCTCTTTGCAACCTATCCCGCACTGCTTACCCAACTAGCCGTGTGGCTAGACAGGACCTCTGTGCCAAACCAGTTTTCTTGTCAAAGTGGGCACACCCAGAGCCAGGAAATAACCCTCCTTCCTTGCTCATTAAAAGGCCTGGGAGTCCTAGATAGCTTTCGAGAGCTCTTGGATGCAGATAGAGCCTCATCGTTGGACCCGGGGACAAGAACATCTCTTTGGACAAAGGTAACTTTTGTGGTTCAGAAGCCATGTACGGGGAACCTTCTTTCACTGCTCTCAGTCTAGCCTTGAGGAGCCTCCAGGGGCCTTGGACTAAAGCACAGGGTATCAGAGGAGCTGGGGCTGCTTCTAAGAGTGCAGATGGTCGTTTGCTTACTCCCTTTCTAGGAATAACTATTGAATTAGGCACCGAGGATTCTGAGGCAGGCGGGATGTGAAAAACTGGTTCTCATTGTAGGGAGTTTGTGATCTTCTTGGGGAACTGTCCTGGTGCCCTAACCAGAAGCCCACAGACAGATGTCCTCTGACAGTCAAAACACCTAATGGGACCTGTGGGTGTCCACGTGCAGGATCCTTAGAGGTGCCTCTTCGGATGAGGAATCTTTGGGGAAGATGGGGGCTGGAGAGAGACAAGTTTGCTGCCAGTAATTTAGGATGTTTAAGCTTGAAGTGAGGATAATTTGATGACTTATCAGCTGTGTGGAGGGCTAAATGGAGATAGACACATACTCTCCCTTCCTTCCTGTAAACCCAGAGACTTGCTGTACTAGAAGGTGCCTGGGGTGATGGTCTGGAACCTCCTAACAATCCCAGATGTGATGGATGGAGGGCATCCAAAGGCTATCGCAGCCTGGAGAACCAGGACCACCCAGCCATGACAGAGATGGGAGATGCCATTTGGGGTTTTCTGGTATTAGAACATGCTCTTCCCATCTTTAGTCTCAGTTGTGCATCTGGAACAGGATCTCAGGGAAGAATTTTTACACGAAATTCCAGGGAGGAGGGAAGAGAAACAGATAACATATTTTTCTTCTCCTCTTTCTCCAGAAGACCAACTGCTGACAACCTCCTCTCCACCATCTGCTCCACCTTGTCCTGTTCACAAAAAGCCCTGAGGCCAACATGGCCACCCCACAGTGTAAGTGATGAATTGCAAACCAGCTTGGAAATATCTCCATCTGGCCTCACCAAAGACAATAGAGTACAAGGGCCCCTATCATTTGCTCAGCTACAAGTATATTTGCTCTTGCTAAAATACTCAGATCATAAAATCCACATTTGAAAATCTCAGAGCATTCAGCTCTTATTACGTGTATTTAGAATTGCTTATTTATTTTGATAAAGAGGGTAAAGTACAAACAACAAACATACTGATGACCAATTTAAATATTTTTGGTTTTGTTACTACCTGGAAACTATCAATTAGAAAAAGACAAGTCGCTGATAACCCTAGAGATAAGGCGAATCCTGAAAATCTCTTGGGATCATGAATGCATGCGCATCCTTTCAGATGCTGTGATCCACAAACCAGCTTCTGCCTAATTTCTCCTCCCTTTCTCCTTGAAGCCACCTTTCTCAGAGCAGGAAACCTACTCCCAGGACTTTAAAAGCCATTATTACCAGAATGCAACCGGAATCCTGAAGTTGGTAACAACCTCATGTGTGTTTTGTGCTTTTCTGTCATTTGGCAGTTATGGAAACTCCCCAATTCTTGCATATTCGTGATTCTCTACAGATGGTGTGGGTCCTGAAGGGAAATTCTTTAATAGCAGTTCCATCTAGCAACAACGTCAAGCCTGGTGAGTGATGGTTGAAGCCACTGTTGCCTCTTAAAGGGACACCAGCTCCACTGGGGACGGGGCTGAACTTGCATGAGCCTGGCCTTGGGCCTCTCCTACTTCTGGGCACCAGCCCAATGTCCACAGGAAGGACAAGGAAGGGCGAGATGGTTCCCTTCCACAAAGGAAACCCCATACCTAGAAATGAGGATGTGAAGGATTGGTAGCTTTCCTTACCAAAAGAAAATGTCTTCAGATAAGAAGGGATTGTCCATTCAACAGCAGCTGACCTTCTCTTTGGAGTTTCTCTTCTTTAAATTCCAACCTTCACTACCTATGTCCTCAGATTCAAACTCCATCCTCTTTCCACCACCAAACCTACAGAATTTTTTAACTTGGTGTCCTTTCTTCTAGTAATGGGGGAATATTCCTTCCTTCCATCAAAAGTCAATTCATCTCAGCTTCTTTCCCTTTCTCTAGGACTTCAATGTTTAATTAAATTAAATTAAATCAATTAATTAAATTCTACTCTTCCCTGCATGTTCCACCCTTGTCTGTTTACTGGGTCCTTTCTATCACTGACAGACTTCCTCTAATATAATATTTCCAAGCTTACTACTAAAAACCTTCTCTTGGTTCCCACATTTCATTCCTACGACTGTTATATTTTCCTATATACCAATCTATATACTGTTCTTTATACCAATCATAGCCAAACTTCATGGAAGAATCGGCTTCACAACTCTCCTCCATTTCACCTCCTGTTCATGCTTACATCAAACAGTGTGACTTCTGAACTGTTCTTCGACCATTCCCCTCAAGCTCCTCTTTCCGAGGTCAACAAACACACTTCTCTGTTCTCACGTTTGGTTCCTCAGCTGCAGTCAGCATAACTGATAACTCTTTCTTTCTTGAACACACTCCATCTTCTCCTTCTGTAAGAACATTCTCTGTGGTTTGCTGGCTCCTCCTTTGCATTCTCCTTTCTGACTCTACTTTCTCTATAAAATCTCCAAATGCTGGGGATCCTCCGAAGTCAGTCTGCAATCATTATACAACCCCTCTGAAGGGATTGCGAGCTGTTCTCTTGGATTGATGTCTTGCATCTTCGCTCTGGCATTTATGCTTCCAACCCAGACGTCTCCTCTGAACATTTTAGCCATGTCCTCTTGATGTCCTCTCCGTCAAATCTAACTTCATCTATCCCAAGTGGATTTATGGATCTGACTTCTCAAAACTGCTGACGGACCCAGTCTTCCCCATCTCTGTTAGCTACCACCACCCTGTTTGCTGGAGCCAGAAATACAGGAGACATCCTGGATTCCTCCTTTTCCTCAATCTCCATCCAATCCCTCAGCAAAAACTGATGACTGTATGTGCAAAATATGCCTTATTTCTAAGATGATATCATCTTTCACCCGAACCACTACCATCACTTCCTCACTGCCCTCCCTCTCCCTTCATTTGTGGAGTCTCCCATCCATCCTCCACAAGGCATCAAGAGTGACCTTACGGTGCTGATTGAATACTATCATTCCCATGTGTTTGTGTTTTGGGGGTGGGAAGTGTGGGGTAGGGGACAGTGGGGAGATCTCAGGCACACCAGTCTTCTTTCAGAGCCTTGAGCTCACCAAGCTCTTTTCCATGGAGGAGGCTTTCTTTTCCATGGAGGGGCCTTTCCTTTCCTTTCCTTTCTTTCCTTTCCTGCCTCCAAACCCCTTCCACAATCCTGTTCCCATTTCTTCAGATGCTAGCTTCCTCTTAGCTTTAAGGTCTTGGTTTGAACTTCACCTCTGCAGAGAGGTCTTTCTTGATATCTCTATCTCAATTTGGTCTCTCTCCTGCTGTCCCAGGCTTTAATCGTTTCCCCAAGGCAGGTGCTACAATTTATTGTGGTGCTTGTCATTTTTCTGCTTACATTGTTTCGTCTCATTTTCCGTGGGGCCAAAGACAATGTCTATCTTGTTCTCAGCTAAATCTTCAGTGTCTTGTCCTGAGTGGGCATTCAATCAAGTGGGCTGAGTGGATGAATTCCCTGCCCCCTGCCCAGAAGGACAGATGCAGAACACCGAGGCTACTGGGAATCACCTGCTAAATTAGTTGGGAATTTAATTCAGCTGATAGCGACAGAAAAACCTACATAACTAGGACTTAAATAAGATAGAAGTTCATTTCTTTCTCATGCAAAAGAAGCCTGAGAAGGCAGGCTGAGGCTGATATGCTGGCTCCATGATGCTACCAGAGTCCAAGGAGTCTAGCTTTCTCCTTTATCAATCTTCAGGTCACCTCAACCATCATCTAAGTATTTAAGGAGGGCAGTAAGAAACACAGAGTATAAGAAAGGAACTCCTCCCAGCAGAGTCAGCTCTTTTTAAAGAACATTCTTAGAAATCCCACACAACACTTCCACTTATATCTCATGGGCTACAACTTAAGCATATGGTCAAAATTAGCTGTAAATGTGGTGGGAAATTTTATTTTTATTTTGGGGAAGCAATGTGCCCTGGTGACAATTGGAGTTCTGATATTAAGGAAGAAAAAGGAAATGCGTTTCAGACAATGAGGAAGGGTGTTTGCCACATGGCTAATGGGAGGAAACTTCTGGAAGAATCTTGGCTGCTCAGTATCCCCTTGGCTGGGCGGAGTCACTGAGAGTTAGGCCAGACGACTGGCCTTTCTGCTGCTTGGAGCCTGATGACTGTTTCTATCTTCCCTTGTGTTTCCAGTCATTCTTGCCTTAGTATCATGTACAGACCAAAAATTGAAAAAGGAAGAAAAAGATAATCTGGTTTACCTGGGAATCCGCGGCATGAATCTCTGTCTCTTTTGCGCAGAAATTCAAGGCCAGCCTACCTTGCAGCTTAAGGTGAGTGGTTGTGCAGCTCATGAGGGAAGTATTGTGAGATGGACTTTTTGCTTCATTTAATATGTTACTGAATGAAAATAGCATTTTTTCAATGCTGGATGCTCAGCGTAAGAAAGGAAACCTGAGCTGGCTGATCCCCAAAGCAATAAATGCTACCTTCGGAATGCTCCTTAACTGCCTCCCAGCAACGCTCTGAGATGATGGAGTGCTTCCATTTAGGCAAAAGCCACTGCACGGCACAGGGCACAAGGGGGGAGATTGTTAATCTGGATCTTGCATATTACACGCCTATGGTCCTTGCACCAAAAGCAATATTTGTAGTCATGAAGCTAATCCTTCTGCTTATGAGGGAAGCTGTAACGTATCAATCCACTTGGAGGTTGGGAATCTCATAAGACCGGCCTGAACCTGCAGATGGGTGCATACCAGGAGCACCCACGAAAGAGAGTTACACCTCCCTCTGTTCTCAGGGAAGACAGTGCTGTCTCCAAGAATCAGGAGCACCTTGTGTCATGGGATCCTGGGGTGGAGCCAAGCTGTTGGGAACCACTAGGTGGCCTGTGTTGACACCTAGTGTCCTCCTTTCTTCTGCCTCTGTCCCTGGCTTCTGTCCCTCCCTTTGGGAAAAGCAGTCACTCCCAGGGCTGGGTTAGTTTAGCTCCCTCCTTCCCATAATCCTCTCTAATGAGCCTCTTTTCTACTCCTAGGAGAAAGACATCATGGACCTGTACCGTATGAGTGAAGGGCAGAAGCCTTTTCTCTTTTTCCGCATTTTAGAGGGCTCCACCTCCGCCTTTCAGTCTCTCTCCTACCCTGACTGGTTCATAGCCACCTCCTCCATGGCTGGACAGCCCATCACTCTCAGCAAGGAGAGGGGCAAAACTGACAACACTAACTTCCATTTAGAGGTTTAGAACTAAATTCAGCCTGGGCTGTGGGTGTCTGATCCCAGGACAGAGGAGCAAGCAGTCAGAGACTCTTCTGTGTGAAAACACAACAGGGCATCTTAAGAGACCGCCGTGCACTGATGCCCATCCATAGCCCACCTCATTCTCGTCACCCAAAAACCACCTCCTCCTCTCGACATCCATTTCCACACCATGTCCCCCATTTGAACGGCATCCCAATATGACACCTAAGAGTCACTTTTTGTTCCTTCCTGGGCTTGTTCCACATCCACTTAGCTGCCAAGTCCAGTCAAGTCAACATCCCAAAAGCTTCTTGTACACAACCCTCTCTTCCTAATCCTTCTGAAAACCTATGGCCTAGAGATGTGAACTTCAAACATTTTTATTCATACAACCCTATTAATAAAAGAATTTATTAATTCTATGTATGTTTATTATAAATATTATAACGTACCCTCAAAGATAAATCTAAAGGATAAGATGAATGTGAAATAAAAATTTTGTATGTCTTGATAATCAGGATGGATTCCTAATATCATTAGTTAATATTTTGACACACAGTGTATACTTGGTTAAGATTAATTGTTAAACATAATGAAAGTAAATCAATCCATATTTCAAAGAACCACTTATATCAGTTTGAATTTTTTTTAGGCAACTTCTCAGAACTGATTGTACTATCCTTGTTTTTATTTTATAAAGTGACTGGAAGTAGAAGTGTCAGCTATGATATTTTCTTGTTGTTATTCACGATTTTTGGAATTTTAATAGAACCTTCAGTCAACAGTTTCTTTATTGGGATGCTTTTAAGCCAGTTGTGCATTTTGTGAGGGTTACTTTAATTAAAGTCTGTAATATAATCTAAAAATTCACTTAACCTATCACATGTAAACTGCAATTTACTATAGTGTCCTGAACATTAATGTGGGCATAGCAGGCTCTCCTCCCTCGGGAGACCTTGCCTTTCTTCGCACAGGACAAACAAGGGTATCAGGTTTTGCAGTGGGTACCCATTGCTAACCAAGTTCAAATTTCTCAGCCAGGCATAATCTGTTTCCAAACCTATCCTTCTGGCATTGTCTCCTGTTGCTTCACGGCCCGTGATTCGGTTTGAGATAATCCTGGAACCCCACCTTACATCCTGTTAACCTGCCTTTTCATTGCTGTGCAACTAGCTTTGAGAAGGTGTAACCTGACAGCATGTCGTCTCTGCTACACCAAGCATCTCTCTCTGCTCTGGGGCTCCTAGGACACCTGGGGACAGACACTTGCAGGAATCTGCTTGGCACTCACACATGCACAAACCTGGAAATAAGGGGGAGCTGCTCCATCAAGAACTCTTGACCAATGGGGGATGGGAGTGGGTGGGGAAAGGCCACTCTCTTTGATCATTCTGGTAGACAATTCTGAGATGCATTCTATCTACATGGTTCCCACTGGGTTCCTACATGAGGGGCCCAGCAGGTTTGAGTCATAGTCACCCACCACAGTGCTGAGCTCAAGAACACATCCTTGCGTTGACTTTCCTCATTTCTCTCCTTCAATTTCCCCAGTCCCCACTCCTGTTCCCTGGGGACGCTTCTCATCATCCTGCATTCAAACGCTTGTCTCAGGCTCTGTTTTCTGGTGTAAACTCAGACTAAGACAGATTGAACCAAAGTGAGCTTCTGTTCTTTACTGACTACGCTCAACACATTGATTTCTTCCCTCCCTGCCTCTGCTCATGCTTTTGCAAACATCTCAAACACTTTCATGACTATGCTTCTCACCTGCCTATGTCTTACTAACATCCTACATCTGTCTGAAGTGTTTAGAGGCCGCTCCTCACCTTCCCAACCAAATACAACATCTTATCTTCTTTGAGGTCTACATCACTTTTACCTTCTCATGTGACATTTCCCTTGTTAGAGTTCATGCTATAGTTTTTTCTCCTCCTCTTGGCCTCTTTGCTCTCTTCTCCTCAACCAAATTCTTGTACACAGAGGGCAGAGATGGTGTCTTTTACATCTATACACTCCATTTAGATGCCAAATCTTGCCTCCTACGTAACAGTTTCTTAAAAAAGTTTTCCTGAAATAAATGAACTCTCATTGCATGTATTAGCATCTTCCCAATGATACTGAAATGTGTCAGAGTAGAACTTGCTTTATGATGTCAGGGCCAGACCAGCAAGAAGGATCCAAGGAATTGCAAAGCTCCTCAAAGAAGATAGAGAAGGAAAACACAGGATGGCTGGTTAGGAACTTCCTTGTCTCAACTCTGCTTCCTCTTCCCCTTACGCCAATCTGACCCTAGGGGACTGTGACTATGCTAGGATATCCATTCAGGAGGGGATGGCTATAGAAACAAAACACAGCCTGGAGAGCATCCCAGAGGGTCTCCAGCCAGCGTCCACTGCCTCCACGGCATCTCCCTTCCGAAGGACTCTGTGCACTGCCTGAGGCTTTGTATTTTTTCCAAACCCTCACCCACATGTATTCATGTATATTCACAACATATATTCATGCATGTTCTGTGCCTAAACAGGGTACAGAAAAGGATACCACGGGAATTCACAGTTGCAATTTTACTCTCTGAGAAGGTCAGGGCTAAGGTCAAGATGACCCCCAGGATGGCTATGAGAGATGTGTGGTGATAATGAAATTGGACGCATAGTAAGCAAGTTTTCTGGGAAGGGCTACAAAGACTGTGAGTTCTGTAAATAACAGAATGTGTAGAAAGAACAGTAGATGGTGATGAAAAACAATGTAATTCTAGGCTGTGCATATAAATATTAGCTTCCCAGCACTCCCAAGAGCCCTGGAGATGAGCAGGAGATAGATGGCCAGTCCACTGTACACAGCATCACTTGTTCCCGCTAACAGAGGAGGTGAGGAAGTGGTGACGGTGGAGGGGGAGGAGAAACCATAGAAGGAGGTGTCCTTAGATATTTTATTGGCTTTCCTGTTTTGAGAGATGTTTTAGTCTGTTTGGGCTGCTATAACAAAATACCATATATTGGGGGCATAATGCCAACAAACATTAATTCCTCACAGCTCTGGCTGGAAGTCTGATATAAGGGTACCAGCATGTCAGATGAGGGTCCTCTCCTGGGCTGCAGACTTCTTGTTGTATCCTCACATAGTAGAAAGGGCAAGAGAACTCTCTGGGGCCTCTCTTATAAGGCTATTAATCTCATCCATGAGGGCCCTGCCTTCATGACCTAATCATCTCCCAAAGACCCCCACCTCCTAATACTATCACATTGGGCACTTGAATTTCAACATATGAATTTTAGGGGACACAGACATTCAGACCATAGCAAGGAATATGAGGTTCTTTGCTTGAATCTAAGCTATGAACCGTAGGAAGAGGCACAGGAAAACAGATTTCTGTTCAGTCAACATCAGAAAGCACTTCTTAAAAGTGTAGGTTCCTTAAGCCTTCTAAGCAGGCAGGCTAGGCCAGTTCCTTGTCTACCTGTAGCATTGAGAGAATACGGCCAACACATACACACACACGCACACCCCCGCATACACACACTACGGTGTGACAGATGGAGAAAAAGTCCTAACAGTGTTATTTCCCCTGTTCTAGTTTCTGAAACACTGGTTTCTATGACTTTTTCCTCCAGTCTTTGAGGTACTCTAATACTCAGGGTGTTGATACTATTGTTGCTTTCTTAAGCTAGAGTTATAGTGGCCTCACTCAGATCCAGGACTGGTAAATGGTGGGTTGACCACAGACTGGCAGAGAGCGGGTTATACACATGATCCTTAAAGACAGCTTTTCTCCTGAATCTCTTCCATTCAGCAACCTGAACCCCCAAATGCAAGTCTGTTTCAGCCTCCTACTCCCTCCCACCTATCATTCCTTTCCAGTTTGTGTGAGCATTCATATCTACTCTTCCCTTCCTTCAACTCCAGGTTCTTTCATTCTTTGGAAGGGAAAATTTAAAAGGCTCTATAAGCTTGCAACTGAGAATTTTTGTCTCTTCATTAGGTCAAGAAGTTTAATTTTGTTTATAATCTAATGTGAACTTGAGGCAAGAAACAACACATGCATAGTCAATGAGAAAGAAGAAGCGCAGAGAAATATGCAGAAAATAAACTGATCAATTAACTGTCACATTATTTGAGTCATTTACAAGCAGAAGAGTCCTCATTATTAAAAAAATACTGCAGAGTCAACTCTAAGCCATGTGATTGGGTAACGACTCTAGGAATAAGTGGACAAGCCACAGAAAACCCATAATGCCATTCCTAATTGGTTCTCTACTTGGCCAGGGATGCAATTAAAAATGAGACAAAAACTAGCAAAGATTGTGCAGCTGATAGATTGCTACCTTCCAATATCCAATGCCAACCCTTAAAAGACCAAAACCCACATGCTAATGTTCTTTACTCTCGTGAAACTTAGAAGCTCTTTGCAGATTAAAGCTCTGATTCTCTCAAATCAGCTTCATCTATGCCTATGATTGCAGCATAGCCATCATAAAAGCTGTAACTAACTGACCAGGGTCAATGCCAACAGCAATGGCTTCCCCAAACTCATCGTGTAGTTTGAACGCCAAATACCAGAACTTGTGTTTATTCTCAAGGGGAGCACCAAGATCAATAATTTCAATCAATCACTAAACAAATATTTTTTGAGCACCTACACTGTTCTAAATGCTGGAGATACAGTAATAAACAAAACAGGAGAAAAATATGTCTATTGGACATATTTTGGAACTGTTGTTAAATTTTGAAGATTTGGGGGTAACAGTCCATCACCCCTGGTCTCTGTCCACATGCAAACATGTAGAGAATATACTGATGACAGAATAAAAATCAAAGCAGTGCCTTTATTATCGTGGCAGCCAGATTAGAGAAATGGGAGGTGACTTCTAGTCCTCCCCTTAACCTTTGGGGCCTAGGCTGTGCCCATCAACTCTGATTTCATATTCTCAAGCCACTGTGATGAGCTGTCATTTGCTAGCAGAACCAAGAGAATAAGGCAGAGTGGTAAACTCCAAGATGCTCTAGGCAGCCTCAGTGTAGAGTAGATTCCCTTAACCACTGTTCCATTGGTGGTCCAGGGAATATCAGGGTCTTGTTAATCAGAGGAGCTTCTTCTCCTCCCATGGGGGGACCCTTTGAGAAACTCACAGCCTCTGCTTAAACTACTTTCCTCACAAGCCATTTACTCTTTCCACTTTAAAAAATATTAATTTTCGGGGCCGGCGGGGTGGCGCAAGTGGTTAAGCGTGCGCGCTCCGCTGCGGCGGCCCGGGGTTCTCCGGTTCGGATCCCGGGCGCACACCGACGCACCGCTTGTCAAGCCATGCTGTGGTGGCGTCCCATGTAAAGTGGAGGAAGATGGGCATGGATGTTAGCCCAGGGCCAGTGTTCCTCAGCAAAAAGAGGA